CTTATCTTGCCATAGGCTTGAGACTATCTGGGTTCACCCGCCAAGGCCTCATTAGCAGGACTCTTGTCTCTCTCCTCAGTAGGTCTTTCTTCCAAGGCTTTGCCCATGACTTGCTCCTCCGGTGAGTCCAAGGATCTTCTGTCCTCCTTCTCCATTAGATGTTTCTGATCTATCACTCCTGGATCTGTTGCCCCCTTCTCAAGTACTTCTTGTCGATTCTCTCTGCACTTGTTGTGATATGTCTAGGGTCATTAAACAGTGCCCCTGGAGAGTTAACTTTACGCAGACCTCATCATTGGGGTCTTTCTCTGTGTCCTCTGCTCTTTTTACATAAGGGAAATAAGAGTCTAGTCAGTTCCTATCATCACTGCACAGGGCAACGACTTTACCAAATCCACTCTCTGACACTTAAACTTTCCTTCCATTTCCACCTGGACAACTGCCACAGGGTAAGTCTACTTTTCCCCAGGTACACAATGGATTGCTATCATCACCCCCTTCTGTTGCCACTGCAATCTAACCAATGTACTCTGTATGAGGCAACATGAGGCTGTCAAATCCACCATGCCCTTTGTGGTTCTCCAGCCTACTTTGATGGGAATTGTCTTTATCCTAGGCCTGCCTTTTACACCAGTGCACCCACACAACTCCACAAACCTATAGTCCATGTATGGGCAGTCTTCCTTTGTATGTTCTTTGCCACCACATTGGTAACAAACCACTGAATTAGTGCTAGGGGCATTCTTGTTTGCCTCTTGTATTTCCTTCCTGGGCTTCGATGAATGGGATTCCTCAAAGTTCTTTCCCCCCTCCCTTGATGTAGGGGGATGAAGCTCTTTTCGCGGAAGGTCTGTTTCCACATACTCCTCTGTTAATATTACAGTGTCCTCTCGCAATTCTGGCTGATGGCTTTGAATCCAAACTCTTACAGCCTTGGGGAGGCTTTGTGTAAACTGCTCAAGAATAATTGAGTCTATTATTGCCTCTGTGCCTGTCTATCTGGCTTCTGATTGGCCCAGTCAGATAATTTTTGCACAAAAGCCTAGGGATGTATCCTGCAGTTCCATCTGGCAGCTCTAAATTTGTGACACTATTTCTTCGATGTCAGGCCCATCCTGTCCAGAATAGCAGCCTTCAGCATGGCATAGTCTCCATCCTTGGAGGTTTTTAAGGCCCGGCTTGACAAAGCCCTGGCTGGGATGATTTAGTTGGGAATTGGCCCTGCTTTGAGCAGGGGGTTGGTCTAGATGACCTCGTGAGGTCCCTTCCAACCCTGATATTCTATGATTCTATGATAGTCTTTGGCTTGGTACTCGTAAGCCACCTGAGCCTCATCGGTCAGGTAGGGGTGCAAGTCATAGTGCCAAAGTAGTCTTGTCCCATCCAGCATGGATAGCTACCTGCTCAAAAGTTAACAAAAAGGCACCAGGATCATCCCTGGGGCCTTCTTACATAGCCCCAGGCCCACTGTCCAATTTCCAGTTCCCTCATAGGAACTCACCAACCAGTGCAGGAGCTGCTGCTGTAACTGAGACTGCTCTTGGATAAAGTCCTGCAATGCTCATTCCTGCTCTACCTGCCAACCCAGAAACACCTGCCTCTCTGCCTGCTAGGTTTTCTCTATCTCTTTTTGTTGCCCCACTACCAGCACAGCATCTCCTCCATTATGTCCGGATCCCCCAGCCCTCATACAGGTCACCTCTCAAGCCGCCTTCTCTCGACTGAGAGAGTTACAATCCCAGTCACAGGGCGCCTCTTCAGTTACCCAGTGAGTAGCAATGCCTAGCCTGTTTTTGTGGTCTCTCAGTCACACCTTTAATCCTCTGTTTCTAAACAGGACAGGACATAGCACAGGTGTGCAGAAGGAGGCCGTTCACACAGCTTCACTATTCCACTCAGCTCGCCCTCGGCGCTCCCTCTTTACTTCCTGTTCCTCCCAAGTATATATCCTCCCCATTACCGAATCAACTGCCTCAGTAGCTCAACAATTGCCAACCAGTGTCAGTAAACCCCACCAGCAACAGGATGATTGATTCCAATTAAACCTACAGTCTTCTCTGTGCTGCAGAAACCTCGTGATCAGAGAGCTACTGCTAGCACTGTGTCACAAGATCTAACAAGGATTCAGAGTTTTTCTTCTTTTAAAATAATGAAAATTAAAGGAAAATAAATGTACAAACCCTTGTTAAAATGATAAAGGGTTTGTGTAAACCACCTAATCCCAGAAACTTCAGAATTAAGGCTTTTCATTTCATCCTTAATTACTGTACTGTGTTTAAATAGTTCAGGAATCTGAGAAGTGCAAGTACAATAACACTTCATCTAATATATCGATACTGTCAAAGATTAGGAACAAGGATGCTGAGTTTATTCTAGGTGGAATATGAGGCCCAGCTATAAAATGTATATGACATAAGGCAACTATTTTTCCTTTGTCATTTTTGTAACACTTTCTTTCATTATATTCTAGCATATAAAATCCCTGACAAAAGTCAATACAAAATAAAAGCTGTTTGACTATTGGAATATTTATTACATCAGTATGGGTGAAATTAGAATCCTACCAGTAGTTTAACTTTGTTTTTAATATGTTTTTCAGGGTTTGAATTTTACTCCAAACTTGACTCATTAAACAACAGCAATTTAGACTGTTATTTCCCATTAATACAATTTACCTTTATATTTGCAAGTATATTTTCTGTACCTCTAGATCATTTACTTGTATAACCTCAGGTATATTCAACTGTGTACTGTTCTACAAAGATCCTTTTGAAACATAAATAAATGGTTGTATGGGAAAACAATTCTGAAGAGAAGTGGAAAAAGTTCCCTTCTGCCATCATTAAAAACTTCACATTCCACTACCCAATTTCACTGTCTCACTACATATGCTCAATAGTAGCACTGAGCAACAGTAATATTACAGAGGCCTTCATGGTAATAATATTCTGTCAGCCCTTCTCAGACTTATTGAGTTGTAATCTATTTCTCAGTGAAATACAATAAAGAAAAAAAGTAGGAGGTAACAAATAAATTTAAAATTTAACTTCGCTAAAAAATAAAATGGAGCAACTTAAATATTTGGGCATGTTGAATTACTTGAGTTAAATTTCACAGTCTACAGATGTTGCTAGCCACACTGAAATATGAGTTGGAGAGTCTTTTCCATTTGTTCCCCTTCTTAGTCACAATACTTTTTTGGTTTTCTCTCAACATCTAGAGGTAATCTTTCAGCAGACAGTGCAAGTATGTCAATGCTCAACTACTTCCAATAGCTAAATCTTCATTGTGACATATTTGGAACTGCCCTGTGGTAATTTATGAATATATTGAATTAATTCAACAGGAGTTCGTCTGGAAAAAAAACAGGCAGGAAGGAAACGAATGGCTCAAGATAAGCCTCTGCTGAGCAAACACATGAGAGTTGCTAAGGTACAATGCCAGAACCATTGTCTCTGGGGACTCTGGCTCCATCTTGTGCTGAGCCTGCAGGACGAGTTTTGATCAGAAGCTACAAAGCCTGGGAACACAGTAGAACAAGGGAACTATAGCATGGTTTAAAAGGGACTCTCTCTCAACGGAGGGGTGGTAGTTGTTGTTGCAGGGAACCAGATTGAGACATAGCACCTCACTGAAGGTATCTGAAGAAGTTAGGAATGCCCAGGTTACCACCAGAAGATGGTATGCCTTTAGATAAGATAGACATGTGTGTATGCTGTTTGTTGTTTTAAAATCCCTTTTCTCTAAAAGCTTTGTCCTTACGAATAAAATACACACAACTTCTGTTTTAAGAAGGCTGTGTAATCACTGTACATAACTGGTCACAGACTCCTGAAGGGAAGAACTACAGGTGCTCAAACTCAGTTGGACCTGCAGGATAAGAACAGTTGATACACGGTGTACTGTGGCCAGGCCCTGGGCTAGGAGTGGGAGAATTGTATGATTCCATTCCAGGATAGGTAAAGGCAAAAAATTTGACACCTGATGGGGAGCACTCAGAGAGTCCATAAAGGGGAGAGAAAGGAAGTTACCCTTGTAATCGTGACACTTATGGACATTGCTGACCATTTATTCCTGAATCATAACTAATTTTAGCTCACATAAATACAGATGGAATACTATCATCAAATGGACAAATTCTCTCTTAAGAAAAGTCTTGTACATTCAGAGACAATATTATAAAGTTATGGAGTCAATCCTCGCCCTCAGCTAAAAGTTTTAGGGTTGGGAATGGCAGAAAACGATGTGTTCTGCCTGCCTCTCCAGTTACTGCTGTTCACTTCACAGGGCCGGCTCCAGGCACCAGCTTAACAAGCAGGTGCTTGGGGCGGCCAAGGGAGAGGGGCAGCACCTGCTAGGAGCGAAGGACTTGCCGCTGAACTGCCGCCGCCAATCACGGCTTTTTTTTTTTTTTTTTTTCCCTTTCCGCCGCGGTTTGTGGTTTTTTTTTTTTTTTGCTTGGGGCGGCAGAAATGCTGGAGCCGGCCCTGTCACTTCAGCAGCTCTTTCAACAGTCCCACTACGTGAAAACAGAAGCAATTATACAATCATTGGAAGTTGTTTGGTAGTACTATTACAGATAATGGTACAAATTCTGTGTAGCCAAATGCAGTTAGATCTTGGAAGAACTGTTTTGTGATAGTTGTGATACAGTCCTTTTTGGAAATTGTGGCGTAAATGAATGTCTCTGACTTGAATCTTTTCTTCAGTGCAGAACTATGGCCTACAGGACATCCAAGCAAATAAACACATATGGGCCTGATTTTAATTGGCACTATGGCCCCTTTACACAAGCAATGGAAAGGGGCCATAAAGTGAGCTAAATTATGTTTGTATTTTAAGAGTTTCACAATTAATTATAAATGGCTTACCATTAATTTCCAAGCAGTTTATAATTATTAAGGTGATCCTTCTATCACATACTCACAAACACAATATATTAACTCTGCCTATCTCACTGACAGGCGCTTATTCTCGTTGCTGAAAGTAACTTCCATTACCTGATCTTGGGATTTCTTTTTCTTCTTCTTCTTGCCCCAACAACCTGAACTCTCTGCATCTTTGCCATTAGCATCACCACACAGTAACCCATCGAGTTCGTCTGTTCCCATCTGCTGTCCCTGAGATGTTTCTGCAGCGAGCCTGTATGAGAGGTTCCTCAAAATGCATACACAGTTTTCAACGGTCTAAAAGGGAGGAGAAAAAGAGAAAAAGGCTAAAAAACCTCTCCCTTTTTAGGTGTGTACATTGAACGGAGGAACGTAATCAATCTTTGCACATACATTTGTACAAAGATATTCTTTTCTGTTTGTTTCTAAGCACTCCCTAGACAATCACTGTTTGAAAGGTTTAGAAAACTTGGCAGGACCATAAAGCCTCTTTTTAGTGAGGAATAGAGCTCTGGACAATGTTTTTAAATAACATTGTTACTCTGGTTCTGAATTTCATGCTGAATTCAACATGAGAGAGTAGCAGAGGCAAAAATATGGTAAACAAGATCCACACAAGCACAGAATGCACACTGATTTCAGCCCCAGCTAGTAAAAAGAAAAATGATGCTATTATTTCTAACAGCATTTATTTCTTGTGTCATTCTATGAGAAGCAGTAGTGAGAAAACCTTAAGTGGTTCTGAGTTTTGGTTTGCAAGAGTACCCATAATTTAATATGCTTATAAACGATCTACCCCTCTGGAGTCTGCAATGTTTTTCCTGCTTCCACTCAAGTTGAAAATACCTTAGGAATAGTCCCTCTCTCTCATGGTATTTTGGCCTTTCTGTGTCTGATCCTACATGGAACCTGGAAATGGAGTGGGGCCCATTATAGAAAAAAAATGATGGGGAAAATTTAACAGAACTTCAAATCTCGAAAACAAATTTAGACTCATAGACTTTAAGGTCAGAAGGGACATTATGATCATCTAGTCTAACCTCCTGCACAATGCAGGCCACAGAATCTCACCCACCCACTCCTGTAACAAACTCCTAACCCAGGGGTTGGCAACGTTCGGCACGCGGCTCGCCAGGGTAAGCACCCTAGTGGGCCGGGCCAGTTTATTTACCTGCTGACGCGGCAGGTTTGGCCGATCGCGGCCCCCACTGGCCACGGTTCGCCGTTCCAGGCCAATGGGGGTGGTGGGAAGCCGCGGCCAGCACATCCCTCAGCCCGCGCCGCTTCCCGCCGCCCCCATTGGACCGGGATGGCGAACCGCGGCGAGTGGGGGCCGCGATCGGCTGAACCTGCCGCGTCAGCAGGTAAATAAACTGGCCCGGCCCGCTAGGGTGCTTACCCTGGCGAGCCGCGTGCTGAACGTTGCCGACCCCTGCCCTAACCTATGTCCGAGTTATTGAAGTCCTCAAATCGTGATTTAAAGACCTCAAGGTGCAGAGAATCCTCCAGCAGGTGACCCATGCCCCACGCTGCAGAGGAAGGCGAAAACCCTCCAAGGCCTCCCCCAATCTGATTTGGACTTTGGTTGAAGGCTAGTTCTTATTTTCTCTAATTTGGTTTGCCTGTGCCTAGTAAGAAAAAAATATGCCCTTCGTTTCTTGGGGGACTGAAAACATGGTTAACCTGCTTACCTTTCAAAGGAAACTGAAATGCTCTTTAAATAAATCAGTATATACAAAAATCTAAATCTTGGCTCCACCTCCGTGGAGGTGTACATGGGAGGGTGGTATAAACAGTGTAATTAGGGATACAATTAGTACTACTAGCAGCTACTTTGTGCCATTATTGAAATGTAGACTACATCCATTGTTTTTCTTAATCAGTTCTTTGCAGAGGATGCGTACCAACTGAGTAGCACGGGGTCCAGTTCCATGAGGGTTTGTTACACACTGTCATACATGGACGTTTGGGGGCAGGAGTGGGGCTGAAGTTCTGCAGGTCCCCTGGCCCTTCCTTTCCATAGAAGTAGGCTCTAGGACTGCAGAATTTACAGTCATCCTTGGCTGGTAATATAGGATACAGAATGGCTCTACTCCTGCTTAGTGGCCTTTAAGGAAGGACTCCCCCTTCAATTGCCCTGGTGGATTTATTATTTATTATTAAAATGATACTACACAAGTACTGCACAGCTGCTAGTTTTCTCTTGAGCCTTTTTCAGATGGTGATGCTAGTGGACGGGCTTCTTCACTAATCATTTCCATAAAAACGTTTACTAATGGTAAGTTAATTGTAGATTACCACAAGCATGCATAGAAGATTGCATGGAACATAGATTCTTTCATAGATTCCATATTTCTCTACTGAATCTATAGGAAAAGTCCACGCACTTTGCTCAGATTAGCAATCTGAAAATTCAAAAGGTACAGTTATAAGCACTTCACAGCATGCATGAACTGTGAAATGTACTTGAAACTAATATTAGATACAATTGGCATTTCTGTGTTAGTGCTTGCAACCACGGTGCTGAAATGTGAAATAATCAATAACATGTCACAGAATTTAAAACACTTCCCTTCCCCGTAACACTGATTTCACAATCACAATTTTTAATTAGCAATTATTTGGAGTTCTTTTAATTATTAAGTAGAACTATTAAGTCGTACCTTTCATCTCTGAAGAATTGTGATCATCTCCTAGTTACTGTACATATAAAGTGAAACAAGTATTTTGTAGGGCTGTCAAGTGATTAAAAAAATTAATTGCGATTAATCGCACTGTTAAACAATAATAGAATACCATTTATTTAAATATTTTTGGATGTTTTCTACATTTTCAAATATATTGATTTCAATTACAACACAGAATACAAAGTGTACAGTGCTCACTTTATATTTATTTTTATTACAAACATTTGCACTGTAAAAAAACAAAAATAAATAGTATTTTTCAGTTCCCCCACTACAAGTACTGCAGTGCAATCTCTTTATCATGAAAGTTGAACTTACAAATGTAGAATTATGTACAAAAAAAATCTGCATTCAAAAATAAAACAATGTAAAACTTTAGAGCCTACACATCCACTCAGTCCTAATTCTTGTTCAGCCAATCCCTCACACAAACAAGTGTGTTTACATTTGCAGGAGATAATGCTGCCCACTTCTTGTTTACAGTGTCACCTGAAAATGAGAACAGGTGTTCGCATAGCACTGTTGTAGCCAGTGTCACAAGATATGTACATGCTAGATGCGCTAAAGTTTCATATGTCTCTTCATGCTTCAACCACCATTCCAGAGGACATGTGCCCATGCTGCTGCTGCTGCTTGATAATGATCCAAAGCAGTATGGATCGATGCATGTTCATTTTCATCATCTGAGTCAGATGCTGCCAGCAGAAGGTTTACTTTCTTTTTTGGTGGTTCGGGTTCTGTAGTTTCTGCATCAGAGTGTTGCTCTTTTAAGACTTCTGAAAGCATGCTCCATACCTCATCCCTCTCAGATTTTGGAAGGCACTTCAGATTCTTAAGCCTTGGGTTGAATGCTGTAGCTATCTTTAGAAATTTGACATTGGTACCTTCTTTGCATTTTGTCAAATTTGCAATGAAAGTGTTTTTAAAACGAACAACATGTGCTGGGTCATCATCCGAGATTGCTATAACATGAAATATATGGCAGAATGCGAGTAAAACAGAGCAAGAGACATACAATTCTCCCCCAACGAGTTCAGTAACAAATTAATTAATGCATTATTTTTTTAACGAGCGTTGTCAGCATGGAATGGTGGCCGAACCATGAAGGGGCATATGAATGTTTAGCACATCTGGCATGTAAATACCTTGCAATGCTGGCTACAAAAGTGCCATGCGAACGCCTGTTCTCACTTTCAGGTAACACTGTAATTAAGAAGCGGGAAGCATTATCTCCCATAAACGTAAACAAACTTGTTTGTCTGAGCAATTGGCTGAACAAGAAGTAGGACTGAGTGGACTTGTAGGCTCTAAAGTTTTACACGGTTTTGTTTTTGAGTGCAGTTCTGTAACAAAAACAAAATCTACATTTGTAAGTTGCATTTTCATGATAAAGAGATTATAGTACAGTACTTGTATGAGGTGAATTGAAAATACAATTTCTTTAGTTTATCATTTTTACAGTGCAAACATTTGTAATAAAAATAGTAATATAAAGTGAGCACTGTATACTTTGTATTCTGTGTTGTAATTGAATATTTTTGAAAATGTAGAAAAATATCCAAAAATATTTAATACATTTCAATTGGTATTCTATTGTTTAACAGTGAGATTAAAACTGTGATTAATCACAATTAATTTTTTTGAGTTAATCGCGTGAGTTAACTGCGATTAATCAACAACCCTAGTATTTTGGTGCCAGCCTATAGTGGCTGGTATTAAAAAAAATACCACTCACAAATATTTATCACATAGGTGTATCCACAATTCACTTTCTATTTAGAATATGAAATAACACTGGTAACTGTGTAGTATCTGTTTGCAAATGTTGACTTGTAATGGCAACCACTGTACTTCCTCATGGTCCACCTCATAAAAACCAGTGCATAGCTGTTAGTGTAGCTCATAAACAGATGGCACAGATAAATTTGCAGATTTGTGTGTGGGAGTGTGCACAGAGCTTGATGCATTGGTGCCTTTCTCAAGCCAGTTTCATTTATTTTTTCCTAATAATTTAACAAAAGAGGAGAGAGAGAGAGAGAGAAAAAGAGAACACACTATACAGTACATATGCAAATACAATTCCAGAGCAGTCATATAGAGTATATGGAAACACTGCTCAACAGAAAGAAAGTCAAAGAGATTAAGGGCCAAATTCTGCCCTGCTCATGTACCCAGTGCAATCACCAAATATATTTTTAAATCTCCTTTTTTATTCCTTGCTTTTCCACTTCTAAAAAGACAAAGATGACAAACCTTGCTATCAATTTCACTGCTCCCAAGAGCAGACTGAATCACGTACAGCAATGCATCAGTAAGTCCATCACACTCCCTCATTCTTCTGCGGGCCTCCTCTCCAGCAGAGCTGACATTCCTACAAGACAACGGTAAGGAGAATCAATTTTTTCCCAACTTTGTCATTCGCTTTCTGTAGCAAAATATTCTCATCATTAACACCAATGATTAACACCTCTTGTACTTCCTATATCATTGTTTCAGATGAGCAAGTAATGAGAATGGTTGTGAACGAGGTAAGGAAACAACATAGACGGGAACAAATTAGAAACAGTTGGTCATCTTAGATGATTTTAGAGCTGGAAGGATGCCAATCTTAGGTACATTCTGTACCATTCCTGGATTGAAAGTATCTAAGCCTACTAAAATTTGTGGAGGGATTGTTCTTTTCTCTTAGGAGTGAGTTTTATTTTATTTTTTCAGGAAAATGTTTTTAACCTCCTCCTCAACCCCACGCCCTTTTTTACAAACTTTGAAAAGTTTGGAGGGTTTTCAAAAGCCTAAAGAAATCTGTTGGGGTTGCAAAGAGCATCTTCAATAGCGAGGGCTCTTCACCCTCCTGAATAGTGTAACCTAGAATAAAAATATTATCAAAGCACAATGTGAAACAGCTGGTATTCCTCAGGAATGGTAATCTGTTGCTTTCATCCTCTCTTTTTATTTTTCATTTTACACCAATGTTTGCTTCTCTCTCTCTCATTTTGAGAGACCATTAATGCATCAGTCTTGTTCACTAAAAATTGTTCTACATTGAGATATATAAAACAGCAACTCATTATAATATTTTTTTGTTTATTTTGTGCTTGTGCCTGAAGGCTTCTGAATCCGTTTTACACAAAGATAACTAAAACTACCCAATGGCACTATGGCCTAATACTCAAACAAATATTATTATTAATATAAACTAGCATAACATATATGTGTGTGTATAGCAAATTAATACTTGACAACACCAGCTGACAAAAATCACATTCAGATTTGCACAAATGTGTGTAATTGATCACAGAATAATAGAAATGTACAGCTGTAAGGGACTTCGACAGCTCACCTCGTCCATCCCCCCACACTGAGGCAGGAGCAAGTAAACCTAGACCATCCCTGACAAATATTTTGTCTAGCCTGTTCTTAAAAAAACTCCAGTGATGGATATTCTACAACATCCCTAGGTAAGCTATTCCAGTACTTAACTACCCTTATAGTTAGGAAGTTTTTCCTAATATCTAACCTGAAACTCCCTTGCTAAAGATTAAGCCATTACTTCTTGTGCTACCTGCAGTGGACATGGAGAACAGTTGATCACTGTCCTCTTTATAACAGCCCTTAACATATTTGAAGACTTATCAGGTTCCTACTCAGACTTCTTTTCTCAAGACTAATATGGCCACTTTTTAAACCTTTCCTCATAGGTCAGGTTTTCTAAACCCTTTCATAATTTTTGTTGCTTTCCTCTGGGCTGTCTCCAATTTGTCCACATTTTTCTAACGCATGATGCGCAAAACTTGACACAGTACTCCAGCTGAGGCCTCACCAGTGCCAAGTAGAATGGAACAATTATCTCCTGTGTCTTACAGTTGACACTTCTGTTTAATGCACCCAGAATGGCATTTTCTTTTTTTGAGCTGCATCATATTGTGATGGTGCAGAGCCTTTCAGCTCCTCTTGCTTGGTAGGGACAAGGGTCTTAGTGTTGTGGTGGTATATGACAACTCTTCTTTCACTACTCCCCATAACATTGGTACCCCTGCCCGCACCAAGGGAGAGGAGATGGAAAACCCCACACCATCCCTATGTACTTTCATTCTGTATTATAGAAATGGAGAGCGAGTTGCTTGCTCTTCTCCTTGTGTAAAGCTGTAGAGTGCTCTCTCCCTCCAAACCGTTTTCAATCCACTTTATCTTCCTTCCTATTATAAAATAGGGGAAGAGGAGACAAAAATTCCAGAGAGGAGAGAATGGATTTAAATAGGAGAGATTGAGAGGATGGAAGAGTCTGAGGGATAGATTTCCCTTGTCATCTTTCCCAGCTTTGCCCATTCTTTCATCCTCTCTCTCTTTCTTCTGAAAGTCAGTTCTGCATTATTATTGATAATTCTACCATTTCCCTCTAATAATGGACCAATACAGTTGCCAGGATTTTTTTGTTCCTAATATATTTTAAAAGCTCCATCTTATTGTCCTTAAGTCTGCTGGCCATATATTTCTCCTTGTGTCCCTTGGCTTCCCTTATCAATTTTCTACAATTCCTAACTTCTGATTTATACTCATTACTATCGAATTCCCCTCTCTTTTATCTGTTTATATATTATTTTTTTACAACTGCCTTCACTTTCCCTCTAAACCAGGCTGTTTTTTAACTAGTTCAAACTTCTTCCTCAGTTGTGGGATTGTGGTTTTTTGGACATCGAGTAAGGTGTTCTTAAATAATTCCCAATTATCATTCACATTTTTCTGATTAAATACTTCCTCCCAGCTGATTTGACTTATATTTGTTTTCAGCTTTATGAAATTGGCTCTATTAAAGCACCAAGTATATATATTACTGATCTGAACTTTAATCTATTTGCACATTATAAATGTGAACATGTCATGGTCACTTGCACCCAAGATACCATTAACTTTTAGTTCTGTGATCTGGTCCTCTTTATTTGTTAGGGAAAGGTCTAATATAGCTGCAACACTTTTTAAGTTAGAAATTGTCATCTATAATGTTTAGAAATTCCAAGAATATTTTAGTACTAGTAGCATGAGACTGCCAGCATATGTCACTCAAACTGAATTCCCCCATGATCATGCAGGATTTCCCCCCCTACTACTATTGTGGGTAGTTGTGTAAGGAAGCAGTGTTCCTATTCTGTTGTGTGACATGGAGGTCTATAGCTAACACCAGCTAATAACCCTTCTTGTGCTTTATCTGTCAGGACATTGATCCATAATCATATAAGATCATTTTATTCTGAGTTATCAGTGACTCGGAAACAGGTAATGCCATTTTTGATGTAGAATGCCACTCTCCCTCCCCTTTTGCTCACTCACACTTTCCTAAATAGGTTATAACCATTGATTTTTAACATTCCAAAGAAGAGCATAATCCTCAATAGTAACGCTTTAAGCAAAGAGGAACAGCCAGTTTCACATGCATAGCCAGCAAACACTCTGAGGACCATCAGTAGACCAACAGTTGATGACAGTTTGACAGCTATTGATTTGAAGTTTTTGTATAATACCCCTAGAATACAACCTTGAGTTCCAATTGCTTAACTCTAGGTAGTCAGTGCAGCCTGTATATACATAGTAAACTGGGTACATGTAGCTTTCATTACTAAACATTTTACAGCAATACAGTAATATATTCTGGTCATTAGCTATATACTTTTTGGTTCATTTGAGGGTCCCATGGCACTGAGGCCTAAGCCAACCGATAAAAATAAAAGTTCTGCAATACCCTACAATCTTAAATAATACAAACAAAAGGTGTGTGTGCGGTAGAGAGACATAACACAGAGACTCAACTTCACTACTAGTTAGTAATGAAAGAAACATATTTATCTAAAACAATACTATTTATGACTTCTGACTGTTAGATTTTAGTGCCTATAAAATCATTCTAGTTTAGTAACACCACTTAATAAGACGAAACTTGATTATCTCAAATAGGTGTAGTACCTCACATAATTCTTGGCTGCAATTTTGAGTGAGTAGAGTGATAATTGAATGCTTCTCTGTCACTTTAAGTTGATAGGAAAATGCAACATATTGTATGACTATACTAAATTCACTAAAAGAAGGAGTTTTACAAAAAAAGAAGCTTTCCTATTATGCATTCACAATATCATGGACATCATCATTCCCTTTTGTTATTTTTTCTCCTCAGTTTTTCAGGCTAGTAATAGTCTGCCAAATATTGCCGGTGTTTCTAGTAATCACTACTGAGGATATAAACATGTTTAATCAGAGCCTTTGGGCCAAATTGTCTGCTGGTGTAAACTGGCTATTGAGATCAATGGAGGAAGGCCAATTTACATCACCAGCAAATTTGGTCCCGTAGCTTTACCACTTAACTATTAATCTTACTTTCAGTGCATACTGTAATTAAATAAACGCCACCCAGTTAAATATGGCTAAAGTTCTTGGGTCTTGATCTTTCCATCAAATGCCCTCACAGAGTAATTTGGTTTTTATTATTCAGCCATACTTTTCATTTTCAAAGCGTCAGAGCAATTAACCTACCAAGTCAAGCACTCAACAGGTGGTTTTCATTACAGTGCTTCTGCATGTCCAATCTTTAGGCTAAATGAGCTGCTCTTAATGACTGTGCTGTGTGATCTGCAAGTCAATTGAATGCCAACCTTCCACCTACTTCCTGGCCCATTTAAACAGGCCTTGAAGGGAGAATTGGTGGAAAGAACCGAACATCCACTACTGTATGTAATTAATCCCATACAAGAAGTCTTTCCCATCTTTGTGGCAATAAACATTTTCTGCAGAAAGTATATTGTATCTGAAAGAAAAAAATGCTTCTGAAAAGGCAACAAATTGTATTATACCTTCTCATTTCAAAGGAAAACCTCTCTTCTTAATACATAGAACTAAAAACAGCATGGTTACTAGAACCATTTTATACTGTGTTGTTGGTGGTGTTTTGTTTTTTTTTTAAAAACACTTCCCTATCAAACCCCTGGCTTGACACTTCATGTCTCGGGCATGTCATGTTTTGTTGTATCAAAGTCACCTCACTTACGAATGTAATGCCATGCTCAGTAGTTGGTCCTGCTTTGAGCAGTGGGTTGGACTAGATAACCTCCTGAGGTCCCTTCCAACTCTGATATTCTATGATTCTATGATCACTCAGAGCATATTATCTTTAACCCAGTGCCTGCAGGAAGTGAGTTAACTTGTCTGCAGTGCTCATTAATGGTGTTAATGGTGGGAGATGAGTTAACATAACACAACTCATACCAACGGAGAAGTTCCTGGGGATCAGAGCAGGAAGGTTGCGAGTTAGGGTTGCCAACTTTCTATCGCACAAAACCGAGCACCGTTGCCCTGGCCCTGCCCCTGCCCCTGCCCCATGCTTTCTCC